CCCTGTCTAGGCTTGGGCAACCTGGCAGTATTCCAGCCCTCGTGCTTCCTTCGGGTAATATGGCAGCTAGGCACCGGAAGGGTGCTACAGCCGAACGGCGATTTTATTAAGACGGATAGATATTCGTGTTCCCTAACTGTATCTTGCTCACTCGCCATACAGCGTGTTTCATACAAAATTGAAAAAAGTTATTGTAACGGTAAGGAAGTCTGTGAACTTCAACTCTATGCTACTTTGTAGCAAAAATCCCTCGGCCTTTACTCCTTTCGGCTGACTACTGAAGAAATGCCCGTAGTCTCATCATCCCAATGCTCCTTCTAAATGTCTGTGAATCGTCTTCGGATTTACAGACTTCCAATTAAAGCACTGAACAACGCCGCAATTTACAATCTGAATCCTAGAGGTCACCATTTTGAAGAAAGTAGGTCCCATTCATTTCACTGGAAACGCTACGCATAGCAAGGTGATCAATATAAATGACCCAATGAACCAACAATTCATTGTTTTGCCTGACATACATTCGTGAACGGTGGATACTACTGATGAGGGATGCGAGTAGCGTTTTCTCGTAAACCCGCCTCACGTCTCTTGAAAAGTGAGATCTATTACGGAATTTGTGGAGTCGGATTTGCTTGGATTTGAGCAACAGGCAAGGGTAACCAGGAGAGTTCAGGAAGACGCGTTCAAGGAAAAGATGGATATTCAGTTTTTGTAAACAAGATGCATATGAGAGTTTTGCTCCCCTGTCCAATAGTCTGTGACTGTTCAGTTGGTGTTCCTCAATTCAACTAACGTAATGAACGAACGACTCACTGTTTTGTCCGACAAACACAAATGAAGTCCATCGAAGATCTGGATCTTACTGAGTGATCACAAATTACCTTCTCAAAAAGAGAACCTATACCAGCCCTGAGTTGAAAAAGCATATAAATTAATCAAATTCACTTCATGACCAAAATGTAGTTGGAACACGTACTTCAGAACAGGGATGCGCTCCCGTGCAGAATGTTCAAGACAGAGTTGGCTAAATCTGTAGCCGTGGTAGTGTATTTTCCTTCTCTGTGTTTTTTCAAACAATCATTCAGGCTTTCGCCAAGCCGCATTCCTGAATGTGATTGAAGTCGTCTTCTTTGGTTCTTAACTTGCAGCGATGTTTTTCCCAATTTTACAGAAATTACAAGACAAAGAACAACTCGAGGCGCCTATTCGCGAAGTGTACAAGTCAGCCGTTGATGAAACCACCAATATTTTGATCACTTTACTGGAAAAATCTTCCAGTGGTTACGCCAGGAATGTCCTCAAGTGTGGAAACATCAATGCGATTGTGACATCTGTGATCGGAGCCACATGTGTCAGCGATGGGCTTATAAATCGCCTTGGTGGATTCTTTTTCATGATGTTGTTATATCTTTGCCCACTTCTGTTGACTGTACTTTTTTACCAGATTTTCCTGCGACAGAGTGCGAAATCATGACCACCGCGACCATGTTGAATTAACCGACCCTGACCAACGTGAGACTGGAAGAAACGGCTTCATTCACTCATGAATTTAACACAACTAACGCCAAACAAAATCTTCAAAGCCATCACGAGATTCGACAAACAACTATTCTTGCATTAACCACCCTTTTAACCTGTATTAGAATGTCATTTTTTAATGAAGATCTACAGCTCACAAATTTGAACGTTGCAACTCCTTTCTTCTTTGAACCAAGAACATGTTTAATTTTATCTGAGCTTTTATCACGCAGGTGAATTTATTCCACACCGAAGAGCGGAGAAACAGTGTACACCTGCTCTATCCTCAATCCTCATTGGGATCAGCATAATTATATTCCCTTTGAGTGCGAGTTAGTCGTAACGCGAACCAGCCACGTGTTTAGTCTTAAATCGCTAGTCCGGAGTTTCTAAGCAGGATCCTCCTTGAACCTGGTTAGGTATGCAACGATGATTATTCCGAACAAGGATACATAAGATTCAAAGTGCTCCTTGGTTGTTTTTCAGCGTAGACTGGCCAAGAGGAAAAAAGCTCAAGCAAAAATTACTGGACTTCCTCCCATATTACGATAAATTTATGAGTGACCCACAGACAGGATAATTTCACAAGATGAGTGAAACTTCATAAAGGAAACTACTCACAAGGTTGCTGAAAACTCTTCGACAGCCCACGAACGATTCCGCCCTTCTTGAGGCTCATCAGGTAAACGCAGTCCCCGAGTTTTCGTCAACCTTATGTTCTACTAGAACCCAAATTGGACTGTTTTCAAGAAATACACTCATTTGCAAATCAATTTGGTTCTCACGAGAGACTCAACTGAATCTCTCGTGAAACTTCCTTCCGACGAGTCATCACTAGAGGGGCTAGTCAGTACGTACCCACCTGTTGTGATTTCTGTGATTGAAGGATTCCAAGTGAGAGCTAACGACACTGCTATTCAGCCTCCAGGGACCAAACGGCCAGCCACTGGGCGGGAGAATGAAAAAGGCCTCACTTTGATTTGCAGCAGAGTCTCATCTATCCCATTATCACCGAGAAAACATGAATCATGGAATGTTACAAGTTCTTTTGATCTCCTTAGGTGTTATATGTGAGTCTTACTGGCTACACACGCAAAGGTATCGGCGGCAAAACGGAACTAACGCAATCAAATTATCAAAAACTACTGTCCAGGGGTTCGATCTAGGGAGGCGTCACTAAAGCGTATGAATAATTTGGTACACTTTAGAAGGTTAATACATCGACCTGGTGAGATGTTCTAATGGGAATAGTGATGAAGGAACGGATTTTATGCAGAAGATAAGATACAAGTATTTTTGTCAAGTGTGTTGAAAACTGAATCCGTCGGGCATCGAATAAAATCGATCGTTTGGGTTCCGCTTTTCGTGATAATTTACTAGAACTAAATACCCCACACATAAGTAGTGAGAAAATGCGTGCAAGTTGTAGGATATCTATGCGAGAGAACAATGATCAGTCTCTAAGTTGGACGATTTTAGTAAATCTTTGCCATAAAGCAGGCTGAATGAAATGACTGGCATACAAAACTAACTTTTCACCCATTATCAACATCAAGCAAGGACTGTTTAGTGTTCAAATGACATCTAGCACATGGACCAATCCGCTATAATATATTTTTTGAGGTCTACTAATGGAATAAAGAGAGGACATTTTTTGTGTCACCAGGTCTCTCAACTTCTTCGTAAGCTGGTACGGAAAGCCACAAGGCATCTCTCATCTGCCAGTCGGATAGGCTTTGGAAGTTGAGGTTGCGTGTCGATTCCATTTCATCAATGCTAAATCCTGTGCAGAAAAGTTCCGCCAGGTTGTCGCATTATTCAAACTCGGGGCGTGCTAGGATCACACGTCATAGAACCTCCTTTGACATATATATCCGCAATCGACTACTCATAAGGTTGCTGAAAATTCGTCGACAGCCCACAACCGGTTTCGCCCTCAGTGAGACTCATCAGGTAGGCGCAGTTTCCGAGTTTCTGAAGGCCTTATGTTTTACTTGTTTTCTTATGTTCTACTTGCCTGGAAAATCACAAACGAAAGATTCAGTTGGATTCCAGGTAAGTCTCTCGTAAAACCTAATTAGTTTGCAAATGAGTGTACCTTCGCTAATTTCGTGTAATTTGGTTTCGAGTAAAACATAAGGTTGACGGTAATCCGAGGAATGCACCTACCTGATAAGCCCCAAGAAGGGCAAAACCGGTCGTGAGTTGTCGATGAATTTTCAGCAACCTTGTGACTAGTGCATTGCGAATATACATGCATCGCGATGTCTCGAATATCGTAGTGACTAAAACATGAGACGGACTGGTGCATCATATTCAGTGGCCTGGACACATCACAAACGAGCGATTCAGCTGGGTTCCAGATGAGTCACTCGCAAGACAAAATTAGTTTGCAAGTGTATTTCGCTAACTCCTACGACATCGTTCATTCCAACGAAACGTCTGTGGTAGACGCGTGAATGTTGAAGCACATAAAAGGAGTGGTCAGTGGAGTAACAGGGGTTCTTGTGTGTGTGTGTTTGAGCAAACTAAGTCAAGCTCCGTACGTCTTCGTCATACGACCTAATTCGGCAGCGCTGCATTTCCTTATTGCATTTCACTTATTGAAATACATTTTAAGGATATTAGATCTTACAAAAACGAGAGATTGGCTCATCTCTCACCAAACACTGGTTTCCAGAGAGCAAAGACAGGGTCGTTAGGGGAAGATTACTGTATTCTGAGGTATTTATACAGGTTAGCTGTATCTCAGCTGCAAACGTTACTTCAGGTAGGTTTCTAGGTATCCGGTCTCAGGTGATGCCCTCGCATCGACGTACTTAGATCGGTTAACGGTGTGGAGTTAATTAGAAAATGCCGACTAAACAGTTACAGGCTGTTGGACAGGGAAGCAAAACTCTCATATGCATCTTGTTTACAAAAACTGGATATTTGTCTTCTCCCTAAACGTGTCTTCCTGAACTTTTCTGGACATTCATTGACTGTTGCTCAAACCCAAGCAAATGCTTTAGAGCGGCTCCACAAATTCTTCAATAGATCTCACTTTTCAAGAGACGCAAAGCGGATTTACGAGTGAACATACTACTTGCATGCCTCCCCATCAGTAGTATCAACGTTACACCTGTAGCTCGATCAAAGTTTTAGCTTAATATATGGTTTGGCACCTACGCCTACACGGTTTTTCTAACCATTTTATTGTGTTATTAATAACAGGACCTTGTGTGTGAATATGGGTCCTGCTTGTTGGAATAAACATTAACATGACATACTACTTCCAAACTAGTTGAAAACATTTCGATATCCCACTTTCAGTTTCGCTAGTAAGTTCGGGCGAATCTCCGAGTTTTAAGCTGTCTAGTGTTGTACTACCATTAATTTGAGTATCCCGCTGTCAATACATAGCTTGCAGGATAAATTTAGTTCACCGCACAATTCGACATTCAGTGAGACTACCGGACTATTGAGAAATGCGCCTATTCAGTGTGTTTTGAGAGGTCACATCTAGTAGGGAGGTTCAAACAGGTTTCAACAAACTTTTGGTTAAGGCATGTCAATAAAGTACATCATCATCATCATCATCGACAGCACGACATCAGTGTTCAACACCGATGCTTCACTGCCGTACAACCATGATTTATTTGAAAGCCTTATTGTAAAGAAAAGAATAAAGTTGGATGGGGGAGGGACTTAGTGCTAACTTAACACAATCATTCCGAGGTGCCTACACCTCCAGACATTCA